CAAAAAAAATGAATATTTGTAGCATTTTACCACTGAATCTGAGAGTTAGTATTGGTTTTCTTTTCATTTTTTCTCTATGCACCCAGTGGTCAATGTACTGTGGTCCCATTCATTCTACTATTTTAGATATTATGGTTTAATATGAAGTTTTAAAAAAGAGAAAAGAAGTTAAACCTGTAAAGTTTTTTGGTAATGGTCCTGTCATGAATGCCATCAGTAGGAACACTAAGTCATTGCTAACTCTTAATAACAACAACAAAGCAACTGTGCTAGCTTCTAGGGCTGGACCATTAGTCACATTTATAATAAACTCTCAATTAACATTAACATTTTTGGTCATGATAAATTTATAGGAATAATGCTGAGAGTGGGGTTGTGGCCTCAGAGAAGAGAAGATAGAGTTGCATCTAGCAAAGTATATTCCTGCATATAAGCTTGGATTTAAACATTTTCAATGCAACAGTAAAGTTACTAAACACTGGATTCTGACCAAGATATATCTTTGCTGTTAAGACTGGACAGTAGGAACTGAGGCCTGGGTTTTTGAGATTTTTTTTTTCTTTCACTCTGATTGCAAAAAACAATATTTGAGAGAGCTTTTTTCTCCTTGGAAATCTTTTATCAGATGTCAGTTTATCTTTTATCAATTCTATAACAAAATACTTCCTCTGAAAAAGTTTTCTTCCGTATCAAATAGCACCAGTTTTTGCTATCAGTGTGAAACTGTGTTTTCTCCAACATATGTATTTTTTCTTTTACAGATTTCTTGAGTATAATAAAAACACAGAAATCACTACATATTTTTTATTACTTTATTGTCTTTTAAATAGGAAAAAGTAACTTACACAGGACAGCAATGACATGATAAACAAAGGCAAAGTCAGAAGTATTCACAAAGAAACTTTGTTCATATGCGGGACACAGCTTTTAATTTGAGTCCTCAGCAGATCGGCACCACCTTTCATTAACCTGCCCCGACCTGGCCATTAATTCACATTCCTGCTCTAATTGGGCAGTGGTGTGTGTAATGGATGCTGCATTCTCCTGCCCTACGTGTGGAAAAGAGAGACATTGTGACATTGGCAGAACTGTCATGGTCTCTCAGCTCAGTTTTCGTCAGTCAGGCAGCCTTGATCCACCCACATATGACGAGTGACAACTGCTTTCTTAAAAGATGAAACTGTAATAAATCTGAGGAAGTGGGTGTGGCTATCTTGTTACATCACTAGGAAAATAAGGACATACTAATGTTAAATTTAATATCTCCATTCTAATGGAAAATAAAGAAATGCTCATTAAAAATCTCTAATTTCTGCCAAAGATTTTAGTTTTATAAACAACCCTTCATTGTTGGGCTAAGAAAGAGTTCGAGGAAATATTTGCCTCAAATGGATCAAGGATAAAGAGCCTGAAGAGATGAATTTAGATTTCATATCATATTTAGCTTGTTTTGCTGAAGCTCGAGCTTAAGTACATTACAAAGCTCTTGATGCATCTATCTACTTACCTTCTGACTTTACCAATGACACAAAAGAAAAACAATAATGACCAAAAGATGTGGCAAGAAACGTTTTCTCCATGTAAAGCAAGAGAGTACAGTTGGTGCTATGGTATCTAGAAAGGACTTAAAAGGGATTTCTATTTGAATCTTTTCAAGAACCTAATTTACATTTTTGCCTGCAATTTATTTGGGTCTATCTACAAGAGCCTGTGTAAACATTTACATAGATGTGTACTTAAATATGGGGGAGAAACTTGTTTCCACATATTTAATGGTTTTGGTTTGTTAAGGCTTGGAAGAGCTTTACTAATGGGAAATCCAGTGATATACAACTACCAAGGAGTACAAATGGGCTTATTCCTAAGGTATGCAGTCTGGTCACTTAAGTACATAAACCTTCTCAGTCATAGACTGTAATCCATGATGTCCAAGTCTTGTTACACAATACCCTGAACGTGCTCTGATGAACACAGAACTGGCGGATGTGGTGGTTATTTTAGTGAAATTTACTTGATGTGAAAGGAAAAGGTTTTAGGTAAGCTGGGCTCCTTAACATGGCGCATTGCTTGTTATTACTGGAAATAGCAATCATAAGCTGGGTACATTGCAATGTACATTCTATTTGTGTACCAAGACACACACAAAAAAATACTCTGCACATCTAACACCTCTATCGCCATTCAGTTATTTTTTTGGACCATGTTATGTAAGTAAAGGTTGAGTAAAAATTTAAGCAGATAATTATAGTGTAAAATAAGTATGACTAAATGCACTGACATTGCTTTTCTTTCCATATAATTGAACGGATGTGCCTATCAATGTGGCTTCTGAGTGTCCATCCATTTCAGTCTGGGAACTCTGTGAGATCCACTATCAAAGGTTAGCTTTTCTGGAAAGATCCTAGAAAATATAATAAAACATACATTTTCTTTCATTGTAAATCCAGTGATTAAACAGGGAAGGTTTGTTTATTCATGTAGAACACACAGGAAATATGTGACACACAATCCTCTACATGGTCTTTGCAACCTAAACCAATAGTTGTGTGGGAGATTATTAGGCTGTGCTGGTGGGAGTTAAAGTTTCTCTTATACCTAATAACTGTGCAGCTTTAGTTTATAAATTATGTGTGTGACTTTAGTGTATTACCTGAAGTTGCCTGTGCCAACACACACAGTGACTGTGGCTTTAACCCAGTCAATAAGCATTATTTGCAAAGCAGTTTTATGAGTTGCTGTGAAGTAAAGGCTGCTGAATCGTCATCATTTTTAAGCCTCCATATGTCCTGTGGCTCCGCTCTGCTGAGCTGCTACTTTTACCTGCTTTAAATTCCCCCAAATTTGCAGAGGAAGAGATGGAACACCACTGTCACCAACAGCTGCATGCACCAACTCTGGGGATTTAAGTGCAGCCTTAATGAATGATTTAGCTTTTCTTTAAATGTAGTGAACTGAAGGGTGTAATTATGTGAATCTTTTAATGTTATGTTAATTTTCATAATAGCCAGGAGAGAGTTTTAAAACATAATCATAAAAATTAAAACCCACAGAATGCAAAATTCATGGACTTACATTGTTGCCATATTCGAACCTGCAAGCAGCCCCTGCTAGAGACGCTGAAAAATAAATTTCAATCTGAAAGCTCTCACGGAAAGAAAAAGACAATTTTATTGATACAATTATTTTATGACTTGGTGCTCAGAACTTGGCAGGGAACATTAGTGCTGAATTTGCTTTAACATGCATAAGCAGGTGTATGTGAACAGGGACGTTACCCCCCAGGCCTGAAACTGGTGGTGGGGTGGATAGATGAAGTTGGTTCAGTCCATTGATTGCTGGTTGGTGAGGTAATCGCTTGAGCTGAATTGGTGAGATCCAGTAGATTGTGTGAGCTGATATCACTGCATGAAAAGTGAGATTTTCGTCCCCGTAAACCCCCGTAAACTCCCGCAGATCTGCCTGATTTTCGTCAGTTTCCGACAATTTGCAACCCGTGCTTGTCCGCGTTTGTCGTGCCACAAATTGTCAGAAACGGACAGTGACGTAGGTGGAGAGCGATAAGCTGTACTAATGGCCCTAATTAGCATATGAATGCAGCAAACCCGCGCGGCTGACCAGGTCTGGCTTGAATAACCTTCTCAGTATTGGCTGAAACCACTATTCTCAAACAAATGAAATCGCTCGTGATTGGCAGCAAAACCACACGTGGCCACGCCAGGCTTTAATTTTCTTACTGAGTATTGGACGGAACCACTTCTTTTTAAACAAGTGAAGTCGCTCGTGATTGGTTGGCATAAGAGTCCGGGAGGATTTACAGTCTGATAGGGACAAGGTTGAAGAAGCATCATGGAATAGCCAGATAGAGCTTAGCTACAATGGTGGAGAATGGGATGGAGGTGGGTTGAATTGTGGTCATCTGAGTCATAATCAGACATAGTGCAACCACTGCTTGCCATTTGACTTGGTAGGAGGCTGTGTCGTGGATTTGAAGACCTTCTAAAATGAACTCTAGATGATGTTTTGGGTTCGTGGAGGTGTGGTTCAAAGCTGATTGGTTTGTGTCAGAGGCAGATGAGCCTCTGATGATGAGGGCAAGTCATATAGTTTCTTCTGCTGAACCTCCGCCTAGGCTTTGAGATTTGACCCAAGCCAAGATTTTTGGGGGAACTAAAATTTGATGTTTTTCATTTTTCTTTAGTCTGGTAGATTTTAAAGGTTTATAAATGTCAATTCAATACATTTCTTATCAGATAATTCCAAGATAAATAAAGTTATCCTTAAAACAAAAATTTAAAATTGTGAAAAAGTGTGTATATCTTCACTTGTTTCAGAAAGTAAAGCTATAGATTTATACCACATTAAGTAAAATATTTCAAGCCCAATTATTTATCCTAATTTTGATAATAATGAAAACCCCATGTAAAGTATAGAACAAATTTAGATCGAAAAAAGCTAGATAAAAAGATGTGTTTAAAATAGAAATTTCAGGCCTCTAAAAAAGTGTGTCCATTTATATGCACCCATTTCCAAAGTTTTAGGATTATTTAAATCTGCAATAATAGAAATTTAGGAAAAGTTTCTTCCTGGAAAGGCTTTAAGAATGCATGTCACTGCTCCTATTTTTATAAATGGTGCTGCTTCAACAAACCAGCCTTTGTTTAAATATTTAGTCATTGGCTTCTGTATAAAAAACAACAATCTATCGGGAAAACACATTGGTATACCCAGCACAAGCTAAACCTTACGAGAGGGCACAGAGAGTTTAAGCAACCATAGAGCTCAATGCAGCTTCCTGTGTGATGAATTTTTGGAGGAATTTTGCAGATGTGGTCTTCTGCTTCTATACCGAAAGCCGCGACTTTGCATAACGAAACAAAAGCTGTATTTGCTAATTGGGAAAATGTTAAAAAAAGATAATGGAGGACAGAGGGGAGATAATCAGGCATAAGCATTTTGTCTTTCAAATGCTGATTGCATCTTTTTGTTGTCTTCTTTCTTAGGTGATTAGAAAAATCCCAAGGACACTGTCAGGTATTCCAAATCAGCACACTGAGGTAAGTGAGAATGTGTCTTTTCCTTTGCTCTGTCATTATATCCATATTTTTACTGGCTGTTTTACAGAGCTTCTTGAAATGTTGAGAGAGCTGATAATGATGGGGGAACAGGCTAAGGTGAAACAATTAGGAATACTGCAATTTGAAAAGTTAAGTTTATTGAAACCTTAGGTTTGACAAATATAGGTATAATTCAGATTTTTTTGTACATTTCTCTTCTTGGTTGGCCCAAAAACTATGTGTTAACTAAAGCTAGTCTTTAGATCTTATCGTAGTGTCATCTCTATCTAGTGATTAGCTTGAAACTGTCGTTAACTAAGCAGAATCTAGTCCTAACAAGTCGGATCCAACAACCTACATGAGGTTTGCCCAAATAGCTGTTACCTGTAATGGCTGGCCACTGCTATTGGCTCTTATCTTTGGCTGTTAATTCTTGCAGGCTGTTATTCAGATAACATCCCCAACGTCATTAGTGGTTAATTGTAATGAGGCAATGAGTCTAGCTTAGTGCTAGTCCGAGTTAATTGTGTAATAACTAGGTTCTGTGTATAAGGCAGTTCTTTTTGTCTCTTTCTTTGCCAATTAAGTTGATAGAAAATGATTTTAGGCTGCTCTCTTTAAGGCTTACCAAAAACAACGGTATAACATGTAACATACCAATAGGACCTAGTTATAAACCTTCAAAAAGAAAAAAATGTCTTTGGGTAGCATAGCATGAGATGTGTGACTGCTGAATTCCTTATGGGCCAGTGAACCAATGGGCTGCTCAGTATGTGGGCTCAGTATGTACATTTCAGGGCCTGACAGAAGTAGAGGCCAGAACCAAATAAGGCACCACCCCCCGAGTAAACATCAACTCAGGGCTTTGTTTGGATTCGCCTGTTTTATGGTGGAATTTCGGAATTGTGAGATTTGCATAGAAAGGAGGTGTTGATGGGGTTTGAACTTCCCTATACGTCAATTTCACCAACTGAACTATGGTTATACATCTACGACAATTTCAACTCTGTTTTGCATTCTATGACCCCTTTAAGATACTATCTGTTGCTTTCATCTTGAACGTTTATATTCAGATTAGATTTTCTTGAAGGAACCTCTGTGAGTTAAAGCTAGCATGAAATAATCACCAGCATGGTTTTGTCAATGTCCAGTAAAAAAAATCAGCTGCTAGATTTGCAGATAATAGTTTTTTTTCCTACTAAAAATATTCAATCAACTTAGAGAGAAAACTGGGGTTTAGTCAGCATTTTTTGTGACTGCTTTTTCTTGTTTGTTATTAAACCATTATATGTTTTTCTCGAAATCTCCTGTTAAGGCTATTTCCCCAATAACCCCCTTTGTTTTAAAGATAAATGGTATATTGTTCTGTATCTTTGGATACAGATGGTTATACACTTCTCAAAAGATGAATTTGTTTATCATTAAGAAACTGTAAATGCAGTATTTCATTAAAGAAAATGTAATCCCAGTAGGTTAAAAAATAATATATCCAAACCCAAAGAAGATTTTTTGCTAGAAATTAACAAAGAACAAAAAAAAAAAAAACAGCAAAAACAGACCAAAGACAGAAACAGAAATGTTCAGGGCCAGAAACATAATAACATGAAAAACATGAAAGTGAATATTACATCCTAGAGAGACTTGTTAGTCTTTACATCCTTAAGGAGGAAAGAAGTATCTTGACTTTTGAAAGAGATGTACTTCAGATTAATTATAATTTAATATTTATTGGATTTTTAAATCTCAACTTCAATCATGTTTACTTTATTATCTTGGTGGAAAAGGTAGTTCCAACTGATAGACTTTTTGGTCTGTAAGAGAAAAATGTTCTTTACCTCATACATCACCCGTGCTTTCTGCACAGAGTTTTGTTTTTCCATCCTTGCAAGCAATATTTCTTTGATTTCAATTTAATTCAATGTACAGACACATTGCAAATTTCAATTTGGTGAAAGATAATTATATTTTCCTGTCTTAAATGTGTAAATATACAGGGCTTTTGCAAAGGAAGACAGGATTGAATTAAAGCAAGAATGCATGTATATTGTTGATTCCCAGCAGACTCTTTGTGCACTTAGTCTTTATCAGAGATGCAGTGTTAAGGAAGTAGCCTCTGATGTGGCTAGTTTTTGCAAACAGCATTCTTTTGCACATGTATAGACTTTGTGGGCAAGTACTGGTTAAGGAGAGAAGCTTAGCTCTGCTGATCCATTCTAAACCCTAATTGTTCACTGCAGTTTGTTGTCATTGAACCATACTACAACATAATGTAATGATGATGATTATAATGATGTAATTTGACCTTTGAATAATGGTAAAGGAAGTCTTGGTTTTTGAAGAATCAGAAGGGATCCTCTGTATTTTAGGTGTTTATAAGGATGATGAGAGAAATTGATTTGTGAATAAAGTAGGAATAAAAGTTTTATAGACAGAAAAACATCATGTTTTACCTCCATTTTTTTTAAACTATGTAAACTCAATGTTCAAATTGAATGCTATCCTAACATGAGAACCTCTTTCCAGTCCATGTCTAAACAGCCCATATACCGGTACATATGGATGAAAGGTTCAAATACAACAGAAATTATTCGTTGCAACAGTGCAGCCTAAGAGCTAAGACCAAAAGTATATAAAGCTCACACAAGGGAGGTGTCCATTTCTTTATATCTATGCAATACATACCCTTAACAGAGTACTATAAAACCAAATATGCTACACAATCTTCCCAAGGAGTCAAGACTTTCTTTTTTAAACATGACTTTCCTGCTTCAGATGGTTCTGTTTGAGTTTTCTGGCAGTAAAGTAAGTTGGCTCTACGAGGTGACACATCTAGTAACAGAGCAGCATTTGTTTTTGCTCCCAGCATCGCCTCTCTCTGCGGTTCTGTTTGATTTCATAAAGCCACTTCTGTTTTCTTGTTGTAGGAAACAACTGTGAAATCAGCCTAACCGCTCTGGATACATGACAAGATTTGGCACAATAAGGCTGACTGCTCCGTTCCTTTGTGCTGTACAGGAACAGGCACCTGGATCCCATCTCACCCCAAAGCATATGCTGCACGGGCCTGGATTCAGGAAAGGCACATGTGCCTTTCTGCTCTAACTAAACTGAAAAGTAAAACAGCCGGATCCTGCCCGATTGAAAGCAAATTAAATACTCTATAACCTAGTGTTAGGAAATAATACATTCAGTTTAATGTGTTTGGATTTACATGACAAATTATTTTAAGTAAGAAGCTAATTAGTCTCAGTCTAAATCCTCTAAAAATCAATGAATTCATTCAAAATCAAAATCTGGTTCCATCCATGTACTTTCAAATTATTCAGTTTCCATTTAGGACAAACATGCATGCATAGATAATTACTCTAAACACTTGAAGCTGATTAAATCCAAAGTTGAAGTTATTTTCTATGTCACTGGAAAAATGTAGAATAACAGAAACCTAATTGAGGGCTTATTAAATACGTCCTGCATTTTCTTGGAGCTTTTATTAATTCAAGGGTTTTGCATTAATACAATGTTGATTTCAAATTTACTTAACAAGTTGTAGACAAACTGCTCACTTTACAAATGTAGACAAGTTTATTGTTTCCATCAAGGTATTTTGTTTTTTCAGTAACTCGCGTGTGATTCTTTTCCGTATAGTTGCTGTTTTTATGGCATGTACGTGAGTTGCCTGACCATGCCTGATATTTTATGTCAAAAAGCATTTTGTGCAATACCCCATTGCCGCAAGAAGTGAAACAACTCAACAGCATGATGCTGCCATTAATTTGCTTGAAGAAGTTGTTAAGTTGGAAACGTCTTACCTTTACCGCTTCATATATCATATATATTTTTTGTCACTACATCTGAAGCGATCAATCTTTGTCTTATTTGAGCATAAAGGTTGTTTTTTGTCAGACAGTATTTGGTCAGTCCGTGTAGCAACCTGCTAATTTTATAGTAGCTAAATTATCCTAATTTGAACTATAGGTTTTTCTCTTTTGGTTGATACCCTATTGGTCTATGTTGATGTAAAGTCAATCTGGCGAGTTTCAAGGTCATTGAAGGTTAAGCCTTAGTGAATTACTGTTACTTAGCCATCTTTTAGTTGCAAAGATGATCTTATTGACCTCTACTTGTGTGGCTTTGTTTAAACTGAGATTTGAGAAATTACTTTACTAACTTGTTTAAAATAGTCTCTCAAAGTATGCCTGAAATCCTATAATTTGCCCAGAGTTTAGACTATTGGCCTATCAAATGGTCCCTGACAAGTTGTCACCAGTGCTAAATGCTTCTTTTGAGTACCCAGAAGTTATGGACTAGTTCAGTTGAAAAAAAAAGAAAAAGAGGCCGGAGGAGTTGGGCTTTAGATTCGAACAGGGCCAGCCTGTTACAACTGTCACCACCCCTCATTTAATCTAAGCTCTGTCGCCTAGCAACCGTGACAGGTGATGCTTCAAAGCAGGCAAAGAATGAATTTTGCACTTCTCACCACTACTTTGTGAGCCAACGTCATATTTGACGATCTTCAGCAGCAGTACTGTTGTTATGGATATCAGATTTATAGTTCAAAGGTGGTGGAATCTGAGCTTACATGTCAGGCAAACCCATTTGGACAAGGACAGATAAAAAAAAATTCCATAAACCAAAAATTACCCACAACATATCTGACTTACTGATCATTTAACTACTATCATTACTTTAAGACGAACCTATCAAAATACTATTACTGTATCACATTAAACTGTACTTAAAATTTTCACCACTATTAGCACGGAGTAGCCAGCTTGCTTAGAGCCGCAATGAATCATGGGATACGAAGCATACACCCAACCTATCCTTCGTAGCAGAGGAAAGAAGGCTGCATTTGTCGGCCGCATTGGAAGGAGTCTTTGGATTTGAACAGTCCACAGCTCTGCACAATGACTTAACTGGCCGATGAATCTGGCTTTTGGAGGACAGTGCCGCTGGATTTAACCACAACGATCTTCTGCCTCCTCCAGCCGACTAGCAGT